AATGGAAACTACTACAGTATATTGGGGTTATATAAGGATAATGGAAAATAAAATGGAAACTACTATGGTATAATTTGGGTATATATTGGTTCCATCAGGAGATGGAGGCAACATTTGGAAGCTCATCAAGATCTGGATGAGGGGATTCAGGTTTATATGTATGGATTCTCCCCCTTATCCCATATCTTCTGAACCCTAAGTCACAAAGCGCCGCACACCCTGAATCCCAGATATCCGTCATCATGGTTCTTACTGGTTGTCATAGAAGCGGGAGTGTAGGCCCTAAACCCTAAGCCGTAAATCCTAAACCCTAAGCCCTCAACCCTCAACCCTGAGCCCTAAGTCCTAAACCCTAAGCCTTAAACCCTCAACCCTAAGCCCTACGTCCTAAACCCTTAGCCCTAAACCTTAAACCCTAAGCCCCAAATCCTAAGCCTTCAGCCCTAAACCCCAAGCCCACCTAGCTGTGCGATGTGATCCCGGGCCGGTGAGTGCATGGAGGCGGGGCAGTGCCTGAGAGCAATGGGTTTAGGGATAAGGGTTTAGGATTTAGGGTTTAGGGTTTAGGGTTCATGGTTGATATGGTAGTTTCCCAAAATGAGGATGCCCCAAAATAGACCCCAATATACTATGGTCCCTATTATGGGGACCCCAAACAGGGTACCCCTAATTTTGGGAAACCCCCATATAGGTTTGGGGCAGTAGGGGTGTAGTCTAGGATCCCAGGATCTCTTAGGATGTAGGTCTCAGGATTTCAGGTTTGAGGGTATGGGGTGTAGTGCTTTAGGATTTTAAGGCGCTTTCGAGTTCAGGATGCAGTGTTTTTTTTTTTAATGGGTATAGAAGCTCGAATAGCTACAAAGTACGGAGAATCAAGTAGAACATCACATGAGCCATAGTCTAAACTCCTAGTATCCCCCTTAAAAACCCCTAAAGTAGTCCCCTATGGAATCCCTAAACCCTAAACCCAATAGAATCCCTTATACAACCCCTTTCAAGGAATTTAGATTACAGCTCACACGAAAATAACGAGGAGCCTAGACATGCCACTCAACTACACAGAACAGGGTTTAAAAGGGCTTAGGGTTTAGGGTTTAGGGTTTGGGTTTAGGGTTTAGGGTTTTCGGATTTGGGTTTGAAGGCCGAAGCCCTAAACCCTGAACCTCAACCCTAAACCACGATTTAAGGGTTTAGGATCGGGTGAGGACTTAGGGTGGAGGGTTTGAGCTTGGAGGATGACGACTTAGGGTTGAGGATGTAGACTTTAGGGCTTAGGATTTCGGGTTTAGGGTCTACGGTTGGGTTGACGAGTTGTGGTTGAGGACTCATGATTTAGGCTCAAGGATGAGGGTTGACGTTTTTAGGATTAAGGGAAGAAGGTGGAGGATTTTGGGTTCAGCGTTGAACGCTTTCGGTTTAGGATTTGGGGTTTAAACCCTAAACACTAAATTGTGAACCCTAAGGTTTGAAGCTTTTGGTTTGGCAAGGTTTGAGGTTTGTTCCGACATCTGAAAGTCAAAGGAATAGCCTCGTCATCATTAACGGACATCGAATCTAGCCCCGTAATTTTGAAGCTTTAGGGTTCAGGGTTCAGGGTTGAAGGTATAGGGTTTAGGGTTTAGGCACGGAAAAGTGCACAATTGTAATGATGATCGGGCTGACGCAACTGGATGACGAATCTGCAAGCGTTGCACCATGCAAGGGTGCACGACACTTGGCAGTTTCCCCAAAATCGCAGTCTGACCCACACTACGGAGAAACAGGGATAACCAAAGCAGTAAGTTTTCTAGAATCCAGTTATTCCAAAAAATCCTTAAACCTTAGGCCAAGGCCCTCAGCGTTAACTCCTCAACCCTTAAACCTAAATCCTAGACCCTAAAACCTGCCTAAAGGATTCTACAAGGTTCCTGAAAGTAATTTTTAATTTCTGCTACCAAGAATCCTAATATTTAGCTGAAATTATAATTTCTGCTGGGGTTCCAAATCCCTTACTGGATTGCTTAGCTCATCAGCCCAACACCCAGCCACCCCATCGTGTCTTTTTGCAGGAGCGCTCAGGCAGTCACCGTACGCATGGCCCTACACGAGACTGGGTTGCTGTAAGGGTTTCGGTTGGGGTCAAGGGTTCCAGGTTTAGGCTCGAGGGTTGGATAATTTATAGCCTGCTGTTGTTGGAGATTTACTGGGTGAGGCAGTACCTAAAGTTTAGGTTAGGGTTTAAGAGTTTAGGATTTAGGGTCTGGGGTTTTAGGATTTGAAGTTTAGGATTAAGGGCTTCTTGCCGCTTCTTCCCCTAAGACCTAAACCCTAAGTCCAAAATTTTGAGCACTAAGGTTTGAATGCTAAACCCCAAATCCTGAAACCTAAACTGTGCGTAGCGCAATTGAGAGAAACTCCCAAGGAAAGCGTGCCGCCCCCAACGACGACGCCCCGGTCCCGGCGCGCAAGCGCGCCGCACCAGCGCATGTGAAGCCGTTGCTGGGTTGCTGTTGGGGAACTTAGAGGTTTAGGGTTTAGGGTTTAGGGTTTAGGGTGTTGGTGAACTTAGATTGAGTCACTATACTAAGTAAGCCCGATTATTTGCTATATACTCATATTATTATAACTTTAACGTACACCCACTACCTACTATGGTAACTTAAGCTAAGTTCCTAAACAACAACCCAGGTTGTCTGGTGCGCGGCATCCAGCAGGCAAAGTTAATAGGGATTAGGAGTAAGTGATGGGGGTTTGGTCTTTAGGGATTAGCGTTTAGGGATTAGGGTTCAGGGTCAAGGGATTAGGGTTTCAGGTTTAATAAGTTTTAAATGTTTGGGTGCGCATATATATGGGGTCCTAAATAAGCGAATATTCTTTATGATTGAGGGTTCAGGGGTTGATGGAGAATCAAACGGAAATTTAAGATGAAATGGAAGCTGGAATTCTGTCGGGGAGATGTAGTACTTTTGCGAGGGATGCCGTGGTACCCGATGTATAGTAAGCTGTTTTCCCTTTTTTGGGGGCATGGTATTTTACAAGCACTAAACCCTAAACCAACAAACGACGCTGCTGCACAAAGGTGTAGGTTTGGAGTCTACGTGGCATCCGCAAGCTGTAGAAATCCTAGAGTCCTATAGGCTGAGCCGCCCTAAACTCAAACCCTAAACCCTAAAAAGCACCTAAAACCTCTAATCTAAAGACTCCTAAAACCCTAAACCCTAAACATTACAGGTCATGTCGGAGGTTCTCAGATAATTCCTGCAGAAGCCTGTAAAAGGACCTCAAGGATGCGCTTATCATCCTGTACCAAGCCTGTCTATCCTCAAGGGCCCCCTACTTTGATAAACTCCCATATGGTCCCCAACGACGCAGAAGACTACTGCCCAACTTTTTGCGGGTGGCTTAAGGCCGGGAATTGCCAAGTCTGTACACGTCCCAATGGTGCTTAGTAGGGGCATGGGGTATGGGTATACGGACCCAAAACCCAAAGCCCTGAACCCTAAAGCCTAAACCCTACTGAACCCTAAACCCTCAACCCCAAACCCTCATCATACAGGGGGACTCCTCTTGGGATCTGCTCACTGACTACCTATACTAGTGTTGAGAGTTTAGGGTTCAGGGTTTGCGGTTTAGTTTAGGATTCAGATCATGGTTTAGGCTTTAGGGTTTAGGGGTTTAGGGTTGAGGCTTGAGGGTTTAGGATTTAGGGTTGAGGGTTTAGGGAAGTTGTTCAGGATGCCTAGCACACAGCCTCTATTTCAACAACCTCTTCAACCAGCTTTCATCCAAATCTTATCCATGTGCGTCTTTTGGAACTCTTAAGTCTTGCTACTGAACCCCCAATCCTTCTTGAGAAGGACCGATATTTCCAAACTTCGGGCTCCCCTAGAAGTTTCAAATATATTACATTTCCTGACGCAGGACCCCCAAAAACGGGACCATTTGTTCTTGAAATGCCACACCTTAGAACTCCCCATGTCACCCTTATTTGTCCGCGTACATGCCTATGTCCCCTATAGTCCGTTTAAAGGTTGTCCCGTGTCTCTGGCAGGGATCCGCACAGAGCTCGAGCAGCTTGCTCGCTCTTCGTCGTCTCAGGCGCTAGAGGCGGGGAAGGTGTTCATCCTCCAATGTAGGGGCCTAAAGTTACCAATTCTATTGTCCCTCTGGGGGGGGTAGAGAGGATATGTTGGGCTTGGGGTTCAGGGAATAGTGAAGAATTAGATGGAAAAAGAAAGGAGACATGAAACGAGAACTGGGTCGTAGAAGAATCTATAGGGACAAGTGCCAATTCCTTTGGTATAGAGTACTTCAAATGCACTTGAGATTTATATTGGATCCTGTGTATGGAGTGTATGGGGATACATGGTAGCTTCACAAAATAGGGGGACCCCAGTATAGACCCCCAAAATACTATAATCCTTATTAAGGGGACCCCAAAATGGTACCCCTAATTTTGGGAAACTCCCACAACCCTAAACCCTAAACCCTAAACCCTAAACCCTAAACCATAAGGATGTATAGGGTCCTTGGAGGAGGTGCAGAGCCACCGCAGGAGTTCGGTGGCGGGTTTTGGGTAGTTGTCTGGATGGGGGTAGCCTGGGTTGCCTTTAAGGTGTTCCGGGGATCATCTGTGGAACATCTTGGCAAGAAGACTCGCGCAGTGAAGGTGTCTAAGGGCGTCCTGGAACCAACTTGCAACTTTTGCTCATTATAGATTATAATCGCCCATCCAGACATAGCTCAGATCAAATTCTGGATGGCTAACGGTTCCAGAACAGATCGAGGTTTCTAGTTTTTTAAAACGGCTCAACTCAGGATCTGGTGGTAGGGAAGTGTAAGGAGCTAGACCCAAGGGTTCAGTGCTTGGCTTTTTTTGGTCACGTGACGATGGTCGGGTCCTAATTTGTGGGGGTTAGGGCTACCATAAACCCACCTTCTTACAGTAGAAGTTTAGGTTTGAAGCAATGGCATGGGACGCGGCACTGGCAGCCGGCTGCTTTGCAGGCTTTGCCGGTGTGATGGCGCATGTAGCAGACGTCTTGACTTGCTACAGTGCAAGGCCCGAGTTGGAAGAGCTGTTCCAAAGACCTAGCGACAAGGTATCCCAGTAGTACCCTTTTGCCTTTTATTTTGGGTACTCCTTATTATAGCTGAATATAAGGAAAAAGGGTACCTTTACTATGAAGGGGTTACTGGGGAACCTAGGCGACATTCTAGACTTCCACAAGGCTTCTGTCATGATGGCTGAAAAGGCGATTTGGGAGCTGGCTTTGGGACACATCTTGGCGCTGATCTTTATCCCCTGTGGTTTCGCAGGTACTTACTTACTCTACCAGGCCTTTAAGCCTCGCTACCAGTGGCTTCGCTGGCCTTTTACCTTTTTGCTCTTTGCTTTCGATGTGGCAGGTGCCCTTATGCACTGCTCGTTTACTTTTGTGGGCATCCTGGCCAGTGCCCCTGCCCGGGGCTACACTGTGCCTGCGGGCCTCTCTGCAGACGTTAAGCCGTTCTTCGAGGTTATTTGCCGCTTGGTGGGCGAGATTGCTATGCTTCCAGGCGGGCTGATAAGGTGTTTGGGTCTGTTTGTTGGAGGCATTGAGGCAGATATGATGATACCTTACTTGTAGAACCTAAGTCATGTAAGCAGGGACTGACTGCTTCTCAACAACGGAAAGCCCAGAGGCTGTATCTTCAGCTTCGTCCTTATAGCAGCTGGCGCGACTGAGCTACCACGCTGGACTGCGCTCCTGACACCAGGCCCACTACAGCTGCTGGTTGCCGCCGTTGCTCCATACATGCCGTTGAACATCCGAATGTACATGCTGGTCACCATTTACAATCTCTCCAGTGGCATATGGCACCTGACAATGGCCGCAACCTATGCTTGGAGCCGGAAACAGAGCCTCCTCAAGGAGTCATAGGTGCTGGTGGTACCCTTTTTGAACTTTTGAGGCCCGGCGAAGGTTTGGTTCTCAGGCCATGGTACAGCTGTGATGACTGCATGGGATTCCGCATCTCAGACCATGGTACAGCTGTGATCACTGCGTGGGATTCCGCATCTGCAGCGTTTGAAAAAGTCTTGTTCTGTAGTCTTTGGTGAGCTTCCGGAAAAAGAAACCTCTGGAAGCACACGGCAGTCCAACAACCTTAGGGCTTCAAGGCATCCGCCAAAAGGTTTAGGGTTTAGGGGTTTAGGGGTTCAGGGTTTAGGGGTTTAGGGGTTCAGGGTTTAGGGTTAGGGTACCCAATGGCAAGCATATCATTAATCCAGGCGGCTTGCCAAATTTCTCACACATCCAGCAACCAGCTCCATTCCATCGATCCTACATCCCGCACCCCCAAGTACTGAGCCTTCAATCAGAGCCGTGTCGCTTGCTGCTGCTATTTCTACTGATTCTACTGTTTGTGATTGTTATTGTTACTGCTTACTACTACTACTACTACTACAACAACAACTACAACTACAACTACAACTACAACTACTACAACTACTACTATGACTCCTCCTGCTACTGCTACTACGACTCCTCCTGCTGCTGCTAACCCTTCCAAGAATGATCCCCGAGGTGGCGGCACCATGCCTCTTTCATCCCTCCCCAGCCATTCGCTGTGCTTGCTGCGCGACGGTGACGGCACTGCTTAGGCAGGGCACAGGGGTGTGCTGAGGGTTTTGGGGGCGCAGGGTTGAGGGGTGAGGGTTTTGGGGTTAGAGTTTAGGGTTTAGGGTCTAGGGGTTTAGGGCTTAGGGGTTTAGGGGTGAGGGTTTTGATGGGGGGTTTTGGTTTCGGGTGAAAGGCTTGGCTTCAAGGGTTTATGGTTTAGGGCCCAGGGCTTAGGGTGTCAACGTTCTTGTTTTTGCGTGTATGTGGGTTCCCCAAAATGGGGGTCCTCCGTGAATTCCCTAAAACACCAAAATAGTTCGTATAGGGACCCCGAGAACGTGACCCCTGAATTTTTGATGCCTCGATCTGGCTGTAGAAGGTTAGTACGATTGTGCTAGTAGGCCCCTAGAAATTGTATTTGCGTTGCTGCTGCTGCTGCTGCTGCTGCGTCTCTCCCTACAAAGGCAATGATTTTTCATGCTCGCGCCATTCATGTAGAAGCCTGAAGTCTTACCACGTTAGAAACTACAATATAGCATTCCCTGAATCCTGCTCCAAACGGTTGAGGTGCCTCCCTTACAATCCCGATTAGCCCCTATACAAGCCCGGCTTTTGTTTGATTTTCCATTTGATTCTTCACTGTCCTAAGCATTAAGTTCCCCAAATAAAGATCCCAATATAGTATAATCCTTCTTATGGGGATCCCCAAAAAGGTAGCCCTAATTTTACACCCCCCTCCCCCTATTTGCCCACAGCATCTTCATGTTACGTGCGCATCCAAGCTCACAGCATCCGTATCAATACTTCCACAAATGCAAGGTTACTGTTGTTTACAGCGAAACAAGATAC